TTGTGCCATGAATGACAACAAAGAATCCATGAATATTAATATGTCACTTGTAAAGTTCACTATAAAGGAAGGCATGAAGCAAAGTGTGCGAACGTCTTTCAAAGATCATTCGAATTAAAATTCGACACTGATGGAGATACTAGGAAAGAATATCCCTTCTTAGATTCTGAGATTTTGATTAGTTGCTCGAGTTAAAGCTCATTGAGTTGCAAGAGATGAAGCGATCGGATGCAGCTAGAAAAATCAATGACCCAAATTATTGTAAGTATCACAGACTTGTGAGTCTTCCTCTTGAAAAATGTTTTGTCTTCACGGATAGAGTGATGTGATTAGTTAACGAAAAGAAAATTGTCCTTGATGATGAGAAGGCTAGTTCTAACCAAATATCAGCCACATTCAGCTCACTCGATCTGATCCAAATATGTATCTCTGAAAAACATGAAAAAGAGTCATTGAAGAAAGACAAACCTCAAGACGATATAAATGATGATGAAGGCTGAATTCTTGTGACTCGGCAAAGACACAATAAGTCAAGCTTACGAAAAGAATCACCCAAGTAGTCGATTAGAAGGAAGATGGTGAGGAAACTGGAGAAGACGACATCAGTCAAACGCCCAAAGAGAGCAAAGGTAGAAGTGCATCACTACCAAAACCCCGACATCATGTTACTTTAGAGGATTTCTTACCAAGTTGGTTTTGCGCGATGTCTACTCAAGAAAATGTCGATGCATCATGTTTCAATGCTGATAAACAAGAAACAATGCAAGTGTCTCCACTGACAAAGAAGGAACAATGAGTGAATCTTCACCAAACGTGTCTCCTAGTGACAAGCCTAGTCTTCAAAAAAATAAAATATTTCGACAAGACTTGAAATAGAAGGAATTTGTAATCATTTATAAAATGATTCAGATTATATTAAATTAGTGAATATATTAGTCCAAATAAAGTTTGGGATTTATATAATTAGGTTAATTATTTAATTCCAATAAATATGGATTTAATTAAAGTCCAAATTAATTTATTTGGCTACAATATATGAGCCTAGTTTGTTAAGCCCAATTTAATCTCATCCTAGAGTCCCAGTTTGGTGCAACGTGGCAAATGAAGTGGCATGTCAAGTAAAACGAGAAGCCAATAGGATCATGACATGTGTAAATAATGACTAGCCCGCTCAATAAAGCCTATATGCCATGTCACCTAAATCTGATTGGCCGAAGGGAATCTTGTTCGAATCACAACTCCACTATTCTTAAACTATAAATAGGGATCCTCATAATTCATAAAAGGAACCGAAAAATTCTACACAAGAAACTAGAAAAATCTCTTGGTACAAAGGCCATAAATTTCTCTATAAGCTAAAAGTTAAAGAATTTAAGCATTAAAGTTCAAGAGCGATCAAGATCAAGACCATCGGATTCAAGAACAAGCTCGAAGCCCTTGAATTCAAGTAAAAGTCAAGATCAAGATAAAGTTCAAGTTCAAGTTCATCGAAGATTGAATAACAAGCTTTAAAGTCCTTAAATCCAAGATCAATTTCAAGACAAATTTAAGATAAAACTCAAGAGACCTTGAATTATATCTGAAAAGGCAAATTCAAAGGAATCATAGAGATTGTAATACTCACATTTTAAATCAATAAATACGATTGTTGCGATATTTTTCCGTTCTTAATTATTATTTTCTCGATGCGAATTTTATTGTCTACAAGTACATCTTAAAATATTAGTCAAAGTTTATGTAGTTTGACTCTCGATAAGACGATAACTGAAATGTAATAAATTTTAATTAGGAGGGAATATAAATTTTGGTTTTTACTGGCTTTTTTGAGAAGGAAAATAAAATTAAAGAGTTCAATTTTTGTTTTTAATTTCCTTTTTACTTTTGGGAAGTTTGCACTTTTAGTCCTCTGAATATTGACAATTTCAAATCTGATTAAGCATATTTAACTTTCAATTAATTAAATTGTGCAGTTTTGATTCTTATACTTGTGAATTTTCACCTGTTTAACAAATTACATATCATCACATCATTTGAGTGCTCATGTATTATGTTAAATTTGTATTGTTTACTTCATAATTGACGATGATATAGTTTTGAAAATACTTTAAATGCAATATACTTCATATATAAAGGGATTACAAAAACACGTATTTTAACAAATTAAAGATTAAATGTATTTAGCCATATACCAAAAGAACCAAAATTAGAATTTATAGATAACTAAGGAACCAAAAAGAGTTTTAAAAATAATTTTAGGATTATTTAAAAATATCTTTTGTATGGGTTTCCTCTCCGCTTGTTCTAAGCTAGACTAAAATTACTCCTCTCCAAAATATTTTCTCTTCGAACAATTTAGATTCTTTGGAAATGGACTTTTCTTGTATATTTATATTATTAGAATTAGATTTGACTTATATAATTATATTAGATTTAACTTAATTATGTCTAAAATATATTATAAGTAAGGGTATTCACGGTCAGTTATAGGATAAAATCAAAATCACATCAATTTAATTAGTTTTGAAATTATTAAAACCAAACCAAACCAAATCAAATATAATATACGTTTATCAATTTGGTTGTTATCGATTTCTATTCAATTTGGTTTGGTTATTCTATTATTAACCAAACACAATTTTTTTTTAAAAAAAACAATTCATTCCAAAAAGGGAAAAAACACAGTAATTCATTCTAAAACAAAAAATAGATTAACGACTGACGTTACATACAGAACTTTCTATCACTGAATTTACTATGAATAAAACTTCAAATTCAATATTTTGATATAGAAGGAAGAGAGAGTGACATTCCTAGTCCCACCAACAATTGTCATAGATACTCACATACATGAAACTAATAAGATATATGTTCTTGTCTTAGGCGTTTTTGCTTTCATAAATAAACTATTAATAAATTTTGTTAAAACCATATATAAGATATTTAAAAATATTTATAAAAATATTATATTATATTTGTATACTAATAAAAATATATGTATACAATTTAACGATTCAGTTCAGTTATATAAACTAATTGATTCACTTTTAAGCAATAAGTTCTAACAATTATGATCGTCAATTATTCATTTATTTTCAAAAACACTCCCTCAGTTCCTATTTATATGTCTTCCTTACTAAAACTAGATGTTCCTTAATACTCCCTATGTTCCCACTTACTTGTCAAATATTTTCTTATTTAATTTTCCTTTTTTACTTGTCATTTTTTACAAATCAAGGAAAAGTAAAAAAAAATTCTTCCTATTATACCCTCAATTTATTAACATTAAGTTAATGTCTTTGAAAAATGTAGCGAGTAAATATGTTTTAGACTCTATCAATTAATAAGAGTATAATGGTAAGCTCACTATACCGTTCACTGCTTTCTTAATAGGTGTGTCAAGTCAAAATTTGACACTAAAAAGGGATGGAGGAGTATCTGTCAAAATCAATGCATTAACAACACTATTCTTCTTATTTTACCCGTTGAAAGTTATTGACCTTGAAAGTATACATTTTTTCAACATAGAAAAATTATTAAGTAATTAATTCATGTTCATTGGTCAAATTAGTTAATCAAAGTAAATTAATTCATGTTCAATTATTGAAAATTTGACTTCAAAAGAACATTAATTAAGAGTACAATGGTAAACTTACCTAGTTTCTTAAGTGACGTAAAACCTAAAATGTTGACAACTAAATAGAAATTGGGGGGGAGGGGGGAGTAATATGTATCTCATTACACACTCCCTCCATTTCAAAAATGTGAATTGTTGAGCCCTTTTTCATAGTTCAAAATAAGTGAATTGTTCAAAGTTCAAGAGAAATGTTTGAAGTTGTTTTCATTTTTGCCCCTCATTTATGTCTTTTATGTAATAATTTCAAGAGAGTTAATTGCTTAAATTCATGATTTTACTTTGAATTATTTATACTTTCAAGAATAATTTGAGAATAACTAAAAGCGCAAAAGTGGAAAGTGGTGTTTACTTTATGTCCTAATTTTTTTTTCTTAATGAGTGTGCATTGCCTTAACAATTAACTTTTGAAATGGAGCGAGTATCAGAAACAAATGACAAAATTTAATGTATATCATTAATGAATGTATTAATTTTGACCACTTTGATGCTAATCATTATTATCACATTATATATATATATATATATATATATATACTAGTCTCTGGGAACGTGCATTTTGTTCAATGTCAACATATACAATTTTTAAAATAATACAAATAATATTAATAAACATGTAATAATGACTAATTAAAATTTTAAAAGTAAAGTACAATAATTTGTAGCTATATATAATAATTTTGAATTAATTTGACCTTTTTCTTGTGCAGTTTTTATGATATATGTTTCTTCGTCTTTTGATATTTCAACAACAAATAGTTTGAATATGAACATGAGCGACATGATGATAGTTTTTAGATGATTCCTTAGTGCTTTTTAGCATAGACTAGTTTTTAGATGATTCCTACTAGAAGGCACGCAAGGCGTTGTTGTTTATTGTGATGCGTCTAGAGTTGGTTTGGGTTGTGTGTTAATGCAGAATGACAAGGTTATAGCTTATGCCTCCGGACAGTTGAAAGTTCATGAGAAGAACTACCCAACCCATGATATAGAGTTGGCTGTCGTAGTATTTGCTTTGAAAATATGGCGTCATTATCTTTATGGTGTTCATGTGGATGTGTTCACCAATCCACTACTAGAAATTTGACCTACTGCCACGCATTTTTGGCGACACATTTACAACCGTTGCAATATATTATCTATTGCAACGGTTATGACTGTCGCAATATATCAAGGGATCAAATAGAACAATAATTAAAAATAACCGTGGCATCATTCTTACAACCGTTGGTATAGATTTTCTAAGGCAACACATTTTACAAACGTCGCACTAAAAGACTCTGTGGCAACGGTTATTTTAGTGAAAAAAATTATTTTACGTAACCCGCGAATTTATTCCCCAAAAATATATTTCCCTCCACTACTAGACTTTAGCTAAAGTGACATTTATTTCATTTAGGGTTAAAATTTTGGTCTTCTTCTTCCAAAAGGCCGATTTCTGAAAAATGGAAAGAATAACGTGAGCTCCGGTTAATGGCAGTACATTTCTTCAACAAGCTCCGGTCTTCTTCTTCTTCATAGTGAGGTAGTCTTCTTCTTCGGTTTGACAAGTCTTCTTCTTCATCTCCATTGATCTTATTCTCCAACAGTAATCTTCTTCGACCGCAAGCTTTTGCATATAAAGGTATACTATTTTTAAGTTTCCTCTGTCTACTCCATTATTCTAAGTCCCCATTGTCTCTAATTTGTTATGCATATAATATTTTGTATAATCTGAAACTCCATTGAAGGGTTTCTCAAAAGTCTAAAAGAATAACAAATGGGTTTGTTTGCAATTTATGTTATTTGTTCCAATTTAGGTCAGCGATGTAATCTATTTGTGATTTTGAGTTTGTATTTCTGATTTGTTGAAGATTTCTGAACTCTCTGTGAAAGTTCATCAAGAAGCTTTGTTTCAATTTTATTAGTATCATTTTGAAATATTGATTTTTCTTGTCCAAAATACAAAGATTCATCCTCTTAAACAGGGGTTATTTTCAGTTTTGTCTCAGATTGGAGACTCTTTTGCCTTCCGAAGCTCATCGAAATCGGCTCGTGGTCGTGGAAGCTTGTGGCTAGCTCGTGCTCAGTGTCGCTGCTCCAAAGAAGGTAATTCCTTTTCGTTGAATTTAGTTTTCAGTTTTCGGAATTATAGTTTAAACTCTGAATACTCTTTTATATGTTCAAGTTCCTTAGTTGAAATTTTGATTAATTGATCGATTTATGTGACTCAATCTGTTAGTATGTTACAATCTTACTGATTTAGTTTGCTTTCTATACTAGTTGATGCCTTTTCTAGTTCTCATTTCTGTTCCTTAGGGTGATTTGTGTTCCTGTTTGAATTTCCTTCAATATGAAGTGTGTTTCTTATATTAATGTATCTAAATGTGTTCATATTTTGAATCATGTACTCCTTATTTGATTATTTCAGATGTTGGTCTTGTTCTCTATAATGTTACGGTTCATATGTCAATGGATATAAACATCCATTATGACTATTTTGACTTTTTTCTGAATTAGTTTTTGAATTTGGCCTTCATTTTAATATCCAAGTTAATCTTGTTTTTAAGTTCAGACTGTACATTTTTCTCATTTGTGAAAGTCAGATCTTGTTTAAGGCTAGAGGACTCTTGATTTTAACTCTTTTAGTGTAATCAAGATTCTGTTTAAAAATCGTTTAAGCTATAACATGGGCTGGTGTTTCCTGTGTCTTTGTTTGTTGTGAATAGAGTCAGCACTTCGTCTAAATTCGCTTTTGACATCTTTCGCATGTGCGAGTTCGGGGCTTATTATAAGTAGAATTTAAAGTTTATTCTCTTGTCAATTGAATTTGTTAGTCTGGTTACATGTTTCCAGCAGTGTGAGTTATGTTCTTTGTCAACAAGCATTCTGGGTTGTTTCTGCTTAAGGTCATTTATTTAAGTGTCATTGCTTCTGATCAAATTTTTGAAGGATTGGTTTAGTATGTATTTGGTTAGAGTTCAGTCGTTTGTGCTTACCAAATTATGAAATCTGATAGTTTATCAATCTTGTTATTATTTTCTCTCGAATTGGTCAGTCCTACACTTCTTACATACTAGACGATCAACTGTATAAAATTAGTTTGATTTCATTTCTTATTCCATATTGTGGCAGCCCTATACCTTATATAAAGTCCTTGGAAATTGGATATACAGATTTCTAAAGTTTTGAATTTGCTAGACTCTTCTTTGTTTAGCTTCTGATGGCTTTTCTCTTAAAAATGACATTTTATATTTAGGGATTTTTTGAGAATTTGATGTTGAACCTTAGAGTTTCAGATCTGTTTTTTGGTAAACTGATTAGGAAATGCTAACTTTGCACTTGCAAGTCCTCATGATGTATTAATTTTTAGCTTGTAGATTCTGATTTACCTTATTCAGCTACAAGTGACTCATGTCATTTGGTTGTCCATTAACATGCATTAAAAACTCTTTACCTGTAAATTTTGTTGTATAAAGATAATGGACTGAGTTTTGTAGTTGATGTAAGATCAGCTTATGAAAATGAAATCAAGGACGAGCTCTTGAAGTTAAGCATTAGGTAAGGTTATGTACAAGCATTAACAAAAAAAACTTTAGGTCTGGACAGTACAAATAGCCTTCTTTGATTTAATAAATGCAAAAAGATATTGATTCCCCTGTTCCATTAAATTTTCAGCATGTTACCAAGTGTGAATTTGTTAAGTAATGACTGATGAACTTGCTCTAATTTTAAGAAAATCAATCAGCATTCTGGTTTTTCAGCAAAATACTAGAAAACTTGCATTCATTAATCATTTAACTACACTAAATATCTATTGTTTATGTTTCCTGTAGAAAATTCTTTCACTAAGGCTAACACTAAGTTATTCAAGATGAAACAATCAGATTGTGTGCTAGTTGAAACTATCTGATCTCATATTCTGGAATCTTTCTCATTTACTGGTGCTAGGTGCTAGATGCTTGATTTACTTCAAAGTAGCATTAGATGTAGCTAAAGGCTGGCATTTCTTCTTCTGCTAGTCCATCACTTGCTGACATTATTAGAAGCATTAGATGTACTACCATTACAGTTAAGTTAGGATGCTTGTTCAGAACTAATGTTCCATCTCCATTTACTGCATCATTCTTGCTTAATGCTGCAAGACTGATCACTTCAACTCCTAATTTATCAGCTCTAGGAATTAATTTTTCTATTTTTCTATTAATACCATCTGCTGCAAATGGCAAGACTACTAAAACTGAAGCGAGGGATAACCTGTGTTTAGTGCACGTAGCCATTTAGATAGTATGAAGTTTCAAAAAACTTGGAGTAGATCCACATGATTTTCTTCTAAAAAGAATCTTTGTTTATGTATAATTGCACTTTCTTGCTTTATGCTTATTTGCTATTGTTACTTTTGTTGTTGTTGTTGTTGTTCCATCAGAAAGTTAGATTTATGCAGTTCTACTGATAAAAAATGTGCTTTTTAAGTTCTTGGTGATTATTTGTTCAGATTTGAATAGTCATGAGTCAACAAGAGCCTTCAAAAGAAACAAAAGAGCAAAAAAAGAACTTCGCTAGACCTGGATCATTATCATTCTTGGCAAATAAAAAACGACGATTATTGACAACAAATAAAATTGTTCAAGATATAGAGTCAGAGAAAGGACATCTTCTAAAATTAATTGAAGAACAAGGTATGAAATTGCCCATTTGATATATTTGATTGGAGGAATATGAACACCAAAAGGATTTATGGGATTACACCAAGGTCTGAAATTTTCAATATTTAAATATATGTCAAAGTATTTTACATCTGTTGGTTAATTGAATGACATGAAATTGTAGGAGAAATATATTATTCCTGAAGCTGCGAAAAAATGGACTTTGGTAACAATTCGGGAAGCTTGGAGAAGGCATAGAAGTGGTTTGAAGATCAATTATTATGACCCGTATGACAATGATGTAGTTCAAATGGCAAAAAAGCCCAGTCATATTCCAGAATGTCAGTTTAGAGAGCTCCTCAA